GTCCGGCCGGGCCACGGGGCGGGGCAGCCTGCTGGCCTGGCTGATGCTGGCATCCGCGGGCGCCGCAGCCTGCCCCGAAGCCTGCTGCCCCCACGGCCCCTCGGGGTTGCGCTGCACCCAGGCTGGAGCCCTGCCTAACCTCCGCTACCTGCCGGGCGCCGAGAACCTGACGGAGCTGTGAGTGTCCGGCGGGCGTGGGGGCGCGGGGGCACACGGGCGTACCCCTGCCCCGAGGGCGCGGACGCGCTGCCTGCGTGCTGGGCCAGGTGGAGAGGGTGCGGCAGGAGGCTGGCACAGCGCAGCCCTCGGCGGAGCCCCGGCGGTTTTCCGCTGCTGCCACTACCCCTGCAGGCTCCGCACTCACTGCCCGGACGTCGCCTAGGGCTAAGGGCAGCTGGAGCACCGGCTTCGGGGAGAAGAAAGGGACTCTCCGCGGATCAGGTCTGAGGAGTCCAGCCGTCTGCAAGACGCTGTTTTGAGCTGCACCATGGAAGGGGGTGGTCAACAGCGGAGAACGCAGTTAGGCACCCCGACCGTCCTTTCCCTTTTCCGTGGGGTAGGGGTAGCCCCCGTCCCCTTCCTTGTCATGACCAGGGAATGCCAGCTCCTCCCCTGGAACCGGGGAATTGAGCTGAAATTGGTGGGAGTCGGTGAGGAATCGTGGAGAGGGATTGAGCTCTCCTCCCTCCATTGCCAGGCCACCCCGCCTTCCCAGGACCCCTATCAGGAGCTCCGCGTTTAGATTTGGGAAATGAGACCTCCTCCTGGCTCCTCTCCTCCCGCTCGTATCTCCCTTTCCACTCTTGTGCCTCCACCTGGGGCTAGGAGTCAGGACCCTTCTGAGATACTCTCCTCCCTTCAGGGGTTCAAAGCTGGGAAGAATCTCCAGCCTTCTACAGTACTCTGCCATTCTGCAGTAATTGGTTACAAAATACTGAAGTACTTTTTCGCAGCCGGTGAAACCTTTGGGAGTATTCTGTAATAATTGGCCTAGAGGTACTCGAGATCACAGGGTGGTGGCTGGGAAATACTTGAGTATTCTGTGTGGCTGGTGGGGCCAGCAAGACCTCCGAAGAGGAGAGAAACTGCTGGAAAATTCTCCTCCCGTGGCCTCGGGCTTAGAGGGTGGGCAGGGAGGCCTGGCCTCATGCAGTGATGGGCTGGAAGTCACCCGAGGCAGGACCATCACTGTCTGGAAGTTACTTGGGCAGCCTGCAGTAATTGGCACTGAGTTACTCGGGTATCTTTCAGTAATTAACGGGAAGGTACTCAATACTTCTCCCTAATGGCCCTGGGAGATTAGAAGAGGAGATGGCCTCGTCTGGGTCTGGCCCTCTGTCCCTACGTGGAGGGTGGGGGCATGGCATCCAGGCTGCCGCCCCTATCCAGTTCACGCATCACCTTCAAAGTGGGGCCCAGTTCCCTGAGTGCCCCCCATCAGTGCCCCCACCTCCCAATTCCGTTCCAAGTCCCAGGGGGTCCAACCCGGGCAGGGTGGTGGAGCGGTGGACAAGGCAGGATTGGGGACTAGGAGGCAGGTGGAGTGGTGAGCTGAGATGTCCCCTTGGGTGGGGCAGCAGCCTGACCCACAGCCTCTGCCTGCTGGGTTCCTTCCCTCCTCCTTCGCTCTCCCTCGCCCGCAGAGCTAACGAGGAGATAATGGACTGGAAGAGACAGATTGATTATGAATCCAAACGAATGAGGCAGCTTTGAGCACTCTGGCTGACAGCTTGCACACGCCCGACCCCTGTGTTCTCACCCCCTCCCTGGACCCCTACAGTTCTAAACTCGGTCTAGGGTGGGGGGCAAGGCGGGGACCTGCCCTCTCTCAAGGTCACCTGGAGGCTACTCCATAGCCCTCTGGGGACTGAGGACCTGACACCTGGCTGTCCTGCTGGGGCCAAGGCTGGGGAGTGGGGAGGGAAAGTGGGGTCACTCAGGCTGGTCCTGGGTCTCTGTAAGTTAGGGGAAGGAGGAGGGTGGAGGGGAGGATTCTGAGAACAGGCTAGGCAGTGAGTCAGGGGCCCCGACATGTGTGTGGGTTGCAGCGGGGCACATCTGCTTGCCATTGCAGGGCACTTGGAGTTCTCAGGAACTCCCGGACGAGCCAGGTCTAGAAGTTGGGCAAAAAAAAGAAGAAGCTGGGCAGGCCTGGGGCCTGAGCCACCCCCATCCCCACATACCTGCTCTTACTTCTTTCCCTGTCTTGCGTTCCCTGGCGCTCCATGCTTATCTAGCTGTCTCTCTGTCTTTCTTTCCTTATCTGTCTTTCTCCTCTCCTTGCCTGTCTCTCTCTGCGTCTCTTCTGTCATTTCTTTCTTAGTCTCTCTATTTGCTCTCTCCTCTCTTTTTTTTTGCCACCCCCCACATTGTGCCTTCCGCTCTTTCTCTCACTATGCGAGTCAGCCTGTGTTCTTCTCCTCTCCACCCCTAACACACACACACACACACACACACACACTCTCTGGATCCATCCTCCCAGAGCCCCTCCCTCCCTCCTTGCGCATCCGGGGCCCCTCCTGGGGCAGGGAGTAGTCAGGGGGTTGCTGACTGACAGCCTCTGTGCCCCTCACCTGCTCTGCTGAAAGGTGGGGCGGGGGGTCGGGATTGTTGCCTGGGTGTGGGGAGGGCCCAGTGGCTTTAGGTGAGCCCTGACAGTGGCTCCTGAGCAGGTGTGTTTGGGGACATGTGTTTGCATGACCACAGGGCTTCCGGTGCTGGGAGGGGCCGTGGCAGTGATGAGCCTAGGCCTTTCATGGAAGCAAGTGTTTGGGGATGACCCTGCATTGCTGAGCATGCGCAGGAGAGGTGCTGTGTGCCCCAGCAGGACACCGAGCTGAGAATGGACCTGTGTGTTTGTGTGTGTGTATGAACATGTGTTTTCGTGCATGCAAGAGAGAGATGTGTGTGCATATGTGTGCATGTGTGAGGGTACGTGTGCATGCACATGTGTACACGTGTTCGTGCATGCAGTTGGGAATGTGTGTGAGGAAGTGTATTTCTGTGCATCTGTGTATGTCTGTGTGTGTGCATGCATGCCTGGGTGTGTGTGTGTGAGACAGCATATGCATGTGTGAGGGTGTGCATATTGGTGCATGTACGTGTGCATGAGCATGTTCCTGCATACACACGTGGATGTGTGTGAGAAGATGTGTCAATGCATATACATACATGGCTGTGTGAGTGTACACGCATGCAATGCCGTACATGTGTATATGTGTGAGCAAGTCTGTATGTGAATGGGTGCGTGTGCGCGCATGTGTGTGAGTGTGCATGCAGGGACAGTGCACGTGTGATTGGGAGGGAGGCATGTGGGTGGGCCTCTGCCCCTGTGACTCCCATCCCCTCTCCCCACAGCTCCATCGAGAACCAGCCATATCTGCAACGTTTGGAGCTTGATGACCTGAGGGACCTGGGCGAGCTGAGAAATCTGTGAGGGGACTGGGGACTCTGTGGGTGTGGGGCTCAGCACCATGGGGACTGGGTCAGGGAGGGCTGTGGGGTCTTAGGGGCCTGGGAGGCTGAAGACTGAGGGGCTGGGTGCGGTCAGAGAAGCTCAGGAATTGGAGGGGTCCAGGGTAGCTGAGGAAACCATGATGGTGTGGGGAGGGGTACAGGGTTCAGCACTGGGGGCTGGAGGACTGGGATGGGCAGAGGGGGCCAGGGATCTGAGCGGCCCAGGGTAGCTGAGGCCCTGGGAGCTGATCCTCCTGCACCCCTCCTCAGCACCATCGTGAACAGTGGTCTCCGTTTCGTGGCGCCAGATGCCTTCCATTTCACTCCTCGGCTCAGTCACCTGTGAGTGGCCAGGGCTGGGTGGAGGGGTGGGAGGACACCCGGACGTGGGCCATTAATGGGCTTGGACCTCCCCAGGGAACTGTTATGAGCCTGGACAGGGAGGGTGGCTCACCCATTCTCCCGGGACTCCTCTTTCTCATCTACTCCAGGGATACTCCCAGCTCCCACCCCCACCAGCTAGAAGGTCTTTCTTGCTGTTTTACTTCCACGCTTCATGCTACAGGGATACTTCTCATAGGTGCCTGCTCATCTTCCTTCCCTGAGTTCTGATACACAGCAGGCCAGTGGGAGCAAGGGGCCTGAGAAGGTCTCCTGGATTCTGGCTGGGGCTCCATCTTCCCTAACATCCTTCCTGGTGGGGAAGCATCCACTTGGCCCCTGGGATAGCCTGGGACATGGAGTGTCAGGTCTGCCACTCACTGCCCTCCCCAATCCTAGGAGTGAGAGCTACCCCTTCTGTAGAGGTCAGAGGGGTGGGATGGGCAGGAGAGAGTCCCAAAGGAGACACCCTGGCAGACTTCCCTAGGGCAGATGCTCAGCACCAGCCCCCTATGGGCAGGTGGAGAGATAGGAAGGGTGGTGGGGTCTGTCATTCACAGAGTTGTGCTGGGCACTGTACTCAGTGACACCTTGCAATCATTATGTCGGTGAATCTTCACAATCTGGTGGGAGACGAGTGTCATCCCCTTTTGTGGACAAGGATTCTGAGAGCTGGAAATGTTAAGCCCCTGGGCTGAGATCACATGGCTGTAAGCGGCAGGACAGAACTCACCCAGCTGACTGGTCCTAAAGTGAGGGTTCTTTCTGGTCCCTGTGTGGTGGTGTCTCTCCAACCCAGCCCCCTAGAACTGATGATGGCTAGTCAGGGGAGGAGTCAAGGCAGAGGGTCCCAGGAACTGCAGCCTGGCACAGAGCACTGGGGCCAGTGGCCAGTGGTGGCTCCTAAACCACCTTCCAGTGTGGCCTGGAGCCAGCCCCTCAGTGGGGCTCGCTTACTCATCTCTACAACTAGCCAGCTGGGAGACCTGGGTCCCTTCAACCTCGACTTTCCTCTGTCCCTGAGGAAGAGCCGGAAGGAGGAGGCGGGGGGTGGGGGGGAACTTGAGGAAAGACTTCGAGATCCTTGTCATCTGTCTAGTAGAGGGCAAGGGAGTGTGGGAGCCTCAGTCCTCCCCTTCGTCCTCTGGCCCTGTCCTGGGCTCTGTGGAGAGGGGTGCACAGATGGAACCCTTCCCCCAGCTGTGGCCTCAGCACTTTGCCAGCTGGGGCCAGAGGGCCGGGGGAAGGGAGGGGAGCGGCTGTTCCCTCAGATACCCCTCCCTGGGGTCTGGGGTGGGGGTTAAGTGAGGTTAACCTTGTTGTCCCAGGGAGAGGCGTGGCTTCTCCTCCCCCCTCCCCACCCCCGACCCCTGCTGCCTCCCTGGGTTTGTTCTAGTCACCAGGGTTGGGGAGGGAGAGATGTCAACTTCCTCCCCGTTCCTCCCCTCCCTCACGCTGGGTCAGAGCAAGTTCAGGTCGCTCATGGGGGTCTCTGCCTCCACTCCCACAGGAACCTCTCCTTTAATGCTCTGGAGTCTCTCTCCTGGAAAACTGTCCAGGGCCTTGCATTGCAGGAACTGTGAGTGGGGTAGCTTCCAGGGGCGAGAGTGGCAAGTGCGTGCGTGCGTGCGTGCGTGCGTGCGTGTGTGTGTGTGTGTGTGTGTGTGTGCCCTGTGCACTTGTCTCTGTGTGGTGGCACATCACTGTGTATAGAACTGGGGGCGGGGGGGCTGTCTCTTTGGGGACTGCGTGTTTGGCTGTGAGCTGAGACCCTGTGTGCTTGTGAACCTACCCCTGCCCCGTCAAAGCAGAGGCTGCAGGACCACCCGTGGAGGGTGGCTGGCCTGGACGACTGGTTCTGTGTGCATGGAGGCTGGAGGCTGGCCCCATTCTCTGAGCCTGTGCTGCGTGACCACAGGCCGCCTGCATGTCTACACAGGGACATTGCCCCGTTCCCACTGCACCGTGCTCAGGGGATGGGTGGGCAGTGCTGCTCCGGGTGTACTTGGTGGGCACTTGTGGCCTCTGGGTCACTCCTGGAGGCAGTGGTCCTTCCTTGTCTCCACACTCAGAGCCCTCACCTGGCTTGTCACCCTGGGGAACCCAGGGGAAGAGAATTCCATGCAGCCCACAGCCAGCTGTTTTTTACTTTCTTGGTGCTAGTTCTTTTTTTCTTTTCTTTTGTGATAAAAATGTGCACAACAAAACATCTGCCAATTCCACAAATTTTACATGTACAGTTTGATGACATAGATTATATCCATCATGTTGTGGAAGCATAACCACTATCCTTTTCCAGATTATTCCACCACCGTTAACAGAACTAAGTGCCCCCCAAGCAATGATGCCTCCTTTTCCCCTCCGTCCCACCCCTGGTAACCACTAATAAGGTTTGCCTATTTCATGTAAGTGGGATTGTACGATATTTGTCCTTTTGGGATTGACTTATTTCACTAAGCATATCGTTTTCAAGGTTCAGCCATGCTGTACCATGTATCAGGACTTCATTCCTCCTTATGGCTGAGGAATATCCCATTATCTTCTATTTCTTTTAGTAACATCTTGGTACTGGGGTCCAGGAGGGGGACCTGTTATCCTGGGTCCCCACTGCTTCACCTCTAGACAATCCTCCCTGAGCTCCAACTGCGCTTGCTCTTGTAATAGTCACTGTCTTCCCTGGGGCTCCTCAGGCCCAGCGCCTGCCCCTTCCCTGACTCTCTTGTGTCCCCCACGCCCACCAGGGTCCTGTCGGGGAACCCTCTGAACTGTTCCTGTGCCTTGCACTGGCTGCAGCGCTGGGAGGAAGAGGGGCTGGGCAGAGTGCAGGAGCAGAAGCTGCAGTGTCCGGGAGAGGGGCCCCTTGCCTTCATTCGCAATGCCAGCTGCGGTAGGTGCTGGGGGCCTGGGAGAGGGAGCCTGCTTGGGGAGACAGCATTGCCCAGGGCTGGTGGGCATTGAGCAGGGCTTGGGAAGGAAGCACTGGGGGGAAATGGGGAACTGGCCGGGGCTGGGGGAGCTGCTGACAGGAACGCTGGTGACACAGGTGTTAAGCCCTGGGCTGCTAACTGAAAGGTTGGCGGTTTGAACCCACCAACCACTCCATGGGATAAAAATGTGGCAGTCTGCTTCCCTGAAGATTACAGCCTCGGAAACCCTATGGGGCAGTTCTACCCCGTCCTATAGGGTCACTGTGAGTTGAAATCGACTTGATGGCAATAGCAACGGAGGGAGCTGAAGATGAGCGGGGCATTGCCTGGACTCAGGGTCACTGAGGAGGGTGGGGGAAGGAGCATTGCGCGGGACTAAGATTCTGAAGCCACTCCCAGCTCTAACACCCCTTGGGCATCCTGGGTGGCCAGGTGTGCCCACACTGAAGGTCCTGATGCCCAATGCTTCAGTGGACGTGGGGGACGACGTGTTGCTGCGGTGCCAGGTGGAGGGCCAGGAAGTGGAGCAGGCCGGCTGGATCCTCACGGATCTCGAGGAGTCAGCCACAGCGATGGTGAGCAACCCTCACCCCTGACAGGCCTGGCAGGGAACAGGGGGACAAAGACGGGGAACGAGAGACACACTGTGGGGGAAAGAGAGACAACGAAAATAAGGCGCACACGGAGGGTGAGAGGTGGGCAGAGATGGTGTAGACTCACAGGGTTCAGGCTTATGTTGTGGGGCAGCCCCCCGGCACACACATGCTCTCAGGATGCATGCTGGCCCAGCAGGGACCCCCAGGCTCCACAGGCCCACAAGGACGTAGGTCCCCTCTCTGGGGAACAGATGCTGGCTGCAAGAAAGAGAGTCACAGAGTCCTCGCGTGATGTGAGAGGGACACACAGACCATCCCTCCCACCCACCCCTTTTCTAGATAAGGAAACTGAGACCTGGAGGTGGGGGAAGATGGTGCAGCATCTACGCTCCTTCACCTGGGAGAGTTCTTGGGGAACTTTCAGGTCTTTTTCTGGAGGTTCTGGAAGTAGCGTCCTCTCAGATGTGTGATGAGTGAGGAGGCACACGCGCTGGTTGCATCTCTCTCACTGATTAATTCTCAGAGTGGCTTTCAGAAAAATCCCTTGATCTGCTTGTGCTTTGGTTTTCTTATCTGTCAGCTGCGAAGGTGGACATGTTGGCCTTCTGATGTCCTGCCTGCCTCTGGACATTTCCTAGCCTCTATCTCTATTATCCAGACATGTCTTTTGGCACCTGCCCAGACCTTGCCCTTGGTCCCCAGGCTGGTGACGGACAACTGGGAGTAGCCACAGCTAAGACTTGGGTGGCCTTGACGACAAGGTCAACAGGGGCCAACAATGGGCTATACTCACCCAAAGAGCTAGCCGCAGCTGGGTGGCAAGAGTGGATACAGGGGGTCCAGTCCCTGAGGGAAGCTGGGCCAATGGGACTGGGGGTGTGTAGTTCAGTTTAGGGGCCCTCACTTTGGGAGGGCAGTTAACAACCAGAGTTGCTGGGAGCCCCGGGAACTATACTGAAGGAAAACATTGGAGCCTTGAGCAAGGGTGGAGGGGGGCTCCATTGGGGAAACTACTGGAGCCCAGACATGGTGGAGGGAGGCTTGGCCACTGAGTCACTGAGTGGTCCCTCTCCCTCCAGAGATCAAAGTTGCCTGGAGTGAGTAACAGAAAGGGGATAAGGCAGGGGCTTCCACATGTCCATGGCTTCTTAGGAAGAGAATCCTGAATCTGGTTCAGTCTTTTGATGATGATTCAGAAACAAGTCACTTTACTTCTCTAACCTCACTCACTGCCTTCATCTGCAAAAAGGAAGTGATGCTGCTGTTTTGCTTATAACTGCTGCCTGGTACCACAGCCATCTCTTCGTTTCTGATCTTCCTTGGGCTAAGACTAAGTTTGTTAGAACTGTCTGTAAATAAGAATAAACAGGAAGATAAAAGGAAAGACTAGACTTACTGGTCTGACAGAGACTGGACAAACCCCAAGAGTATGGCCCCTGGACACCCTTATAGCTCAGTACTGAAGTCACTCCAGAGGTTCACCCTTCAGCCAAAGATTAGACAGGCCCATAAAACAAAACTAAATGGGCACACCAGCCCAGGGGCAAGGACAAGATGGCAGGAGGGGACAGGAAAGCTGGTAATGGGGAACTCAAGGTCGAGAAGGGAGAGTGTTGGCGTGTTGCGGAGTTGGCAACCAATGTCATAAAACGATATGTGTGTTAATTGTTTAATGAGAAGCTAGTTTGCTCTGTAGACTTTCATCTAAAGTACAATAAAAAATTTTTTAAACACAAGATAGCCAAAGGGGGTGGGGAGGGGGGAAGAGTAAATAAGTAGCGAGGTCCTAGTTGGCTCTCCAATGATCTGTCTATGAATTTGGTACTTGGGATTCGTGACATCTACTTAGCTGCTCAGATGGGTAGTTTTGGTTTCAGTCTGGGGTATTTTGTGCCTATTTAGAGGTTATTGGTTATGCTCTAGATTTTTCAGATCATGAAATAAATGAGCCAGGAGTTAGTCTACAAATCAGCTCTAAAGGAGGAGGACCATTCTCTGCTATATGCTCTCCCTCTCCTCCTCCCCACCACCCCAGCCCTCCTCTCCTTTCCATCTAGAGCCAGAGGGGTTCCCCAAAGACATCTGCTCCAGCCCCCTGACTCCAGCCCCAAGTGGGCTGAAACTCTTCCTGATTTTTTCCTCTCTTCCCTGACCCAGCAATCCGGGGGTCTGCTGTCCCTGGGGCTGACCCTGGCCAATGTCACCAGTGACCTCAACAGGAAGAATGTGACATGTTGGGCGGAGAATGATGTAGGACGGGCTGAGGTCTCTGTCCAGGTCAATGTCTCCTGTGAGTCTCCCATGACTTCCCCAGCACCCACTCCCCACCACATCCCTCCTTCCCTGAAAAGAGGACGAGAGGGTGGGGGGCTGGAGGAAAGGGGTGGGATGTGTGTCTCCACAGCTGCTCCCTCCCAGCTGTTTCCAGATTCCCATGAAAACCTGATCCTTTGGGGGAAGTCCTGGGGGCTCATCAAGGCAAGAGGGAGGGAGATGGATTTCTTTCTGGCCCTTTGCCCAAGCCTTGCTACCTGGGGCCCTGAACACCAGCTGCCGGGCCATTCCCCTGCTCCTGTAGTGCTTCTTCAGGCCGCCCTTCCCTAGGCCCTTTGCCCTGCATCCTAGTTTGAGAAAAGGAAACTCTCCTCATGAGTTCCTTTTTAGGCTCCCAGCCTAATTTCTCTAGGTCTGTCCACAAATAATATTAAATCCTCTTTTTTGCTGCTTTTATTGTGAAATATAATGCCCACAGACATATGCAGAAAACATATCCACTTTAAACAATAATTATTGTTACCAGTATTTCAGAAGACCTCCTTCACCCCTCGCCATTCACCCACCATCCCTCTCCTCCACCCCGTCCTGACTTCGGTGATGATCTTTTCCTTGCTTTTCAAAATAATTCTACGCAGCTATGCTTCCTTATCACTATAAGTTAGTTTTGCCCGTTTCTGTACATTTGATCAGTGGAATCATACCGTATTATATTGTGCTTAGTTTCTTTTGCTTAATATTATGGTTTTTTTTTTAATTGTTTATTTATTTTTATTTTCTTTTTTACTACATAACGCTTCACGAATTTATGTGTCATTCTTGTGCCAGGGTCATGCTAATCTCCTCTGTATCATTCACAATTTTAGTACATGTGCTCGCCGAAGCGAGCGCTCAATATTATGGTTTTAAGATCCATCCATGTTGATGGAAGTAGCTGGAGTTTATTCAGTTCACCACTGAATAGTATCCATTATATGAATACTGGCTGGAATTACAGTATAAAGTATATATGTCTATACGTATATATACATTTTCTTTCTATTATTGATGGGCTTTTTTTCCCCCAGGTTGGGCCTATTTCAAACCCATATTTTCTTTCAAAAAGGTTTTTTTCTTTTAACTGTATATTTTTGCTTGTTTGATTTTTAAATCTGCTACCGCATCTTCTTAAGAGCGATCACACTTAACTTTTCTAGATCCCTTATCTAAAAGACTCAACGTTTCATTTCCAGGGCTGGATGGAGCGCCAATTCTCTAGGCCTGTTACGGTATTTATTTCAGGCTGGCCTCTTCAATTCTTTAAGCCTGTGGATTTTATAGGCCTGCTGCCTGGTTTATTTAAGATTTACTGTCAACTTTCTTCAAAACGTCTCTCCTTGCGAATGTCTTAGGGCCCGATGACCGATTTCTCCTAGGCCCGGCCCCTGATGTCTTGCTCAGCCGCGTGGCCCGGCCTCGTGGCTCCAGCTGGGCGCTGACCCCTCGCTGTCCTTCTCTCCGGCCCACAGTCCCGGCCAGCGTGCAGCTGCACAAAGCAGTGGAGCTGCACCACTGGTGCATCCCCTTCTCGGTGGACGGGCAGCCGGCGCCCTCTCTCCGCTGGCTCTTCAACGGCTCCGTGCTCAACGAGACCAGCTTCATCTTCACCGAGTTCCTGGAGCCTGCGCCCAACGAGACGGTGCGGCACGGCTGCCTGCGCCTCAACCAGCCCACCCACGTCAACAACGGCAACTACACGCTTATAGCCACCAACCCCTCCGGCCGGGCGGCCGCCTCCATCATGGCCGCCTTCATGGACAACCCATTCGAGTTCAACCCCGAGGATCCCGTTCCTGGTGAGAGGCCTGCCCCAAGCTCTGCCCCCATTCCCAGGGCTCCACCTGGGGGACAGATCCAGGTGTCCAGGGAGGCGTGGCCCACTTCCTGCTGTTACCCTGACCCTAGAAGTTGCGTTGCCTGGTCCGGGGGGGACACAAAACATCCTGGAGTTCTGTTGTCTGAAGGAGCCAGAGATTTGCTGTCTGGCTCTGTCCTTGCCTCCTCCCTCAAGCTGGAGGGCTCCTGAAGCCCTCAGCTATTCCATTCACTTGGGCTGGCTGAAGAGAGAGCCCCGGACCGGGGTATCCAGGGCCCAGCATGGAAAGGGCCAGTGCATCTTGTCCCTTGAGGCCCATGGCCCCCTACCTCCCCATCACACCCCACGCCATGAAGGGATGAGGCCCAGGGGCGAGGCACTCACTTCTCTTTTCCTCCCTCTGACTGCTTTGTCTTCCCTCCTGCTACAGTCTCCTTCTCGCCAGTGGGTGAGTAGGGGGTGCTGGAGGCTCCCTGGTCCCTGGAGCCGAGCCTGGGGCAGAGGGTACCCCTGAGGGCTCAGCTGGGGCTGCGGTGGGAGAGTTGCTGGAGGAGGCACAGCCTGTGCCAAGGCCCTCACTTATGGCCTTTGACCCCACAGACACTAACAGCACATCGAGAGACCCTGTGGAGAAGAAGGATGAAACACCTTTTGGGGTGAGGTTGGGAAGTGGAGGCCTGGCCAGGACTTGGGGTTCGGGAGGTCGGGCTACAGGCTAGAGGCTCACCTGCATGTTGTATCGAGTCAGAGCTTGGGGAGCACTGCAGTCTGGCCTAAGCTGTGTCAGCCACCCTCACAGCCATGCGGGGTCTCTAGGGGAGGAGGGCAGGTCTGTGGGCCGGCTGTGGGCTCCTCCGTGGGATGGAGAAACAGTTTGCTATGGGGGAGCTCTGAGAAGACAGGGCCCTCGCTGGATCTAACCATCCCCACGCCCAGGTCTCGGTGGCCGTGGGCCTGGCTGTCTTCGCCTGCCTCTTCCTTTCTACGCTGCTCCTTGTGCTCAACAAATGTGGACGCAGAAACAAGTTTGGGATCAACCGTGAGTGGGGGGCTGCAGAGGGGCTGGCTGTCTGTCTGTCCTACTGGCTTTGTTTCCTCCGGGCTCTCCCTGACTCTGTTCTCTGTATGGGGGCGGGGGCTGCACACACGTGGAGTTCTCGGGTGTGTGAGCGTGTCTAGGGTCTGCGGGGCTTGTGAGTGTGTGTGAGCGTGTGTCGGGGCTGGTGGTGGGGGCCGTTTCAGAGGTAGCAGCTACTAATTGGTGGCTGGATTGTAGTCAAACACTAAGTGGGTTCTTCAGGGGGAGGGGCGCAGTGGGGGAGTTCTTTGGTGCCCGTGGGGCCCGGGGTTGGACAGGAGCCAGACAGAGAGAGGCCACAGTGCCTCACTTCTCCCGGCTGCTGTCTCGCTCCCTAGCTTCTCTGTTCCTCCCCTGCAAGCTACGAGGCGGGGGTCGCCTGCCATGGTCTGCCACCCTGCCAGAGCGGGCAGGAGCCAGGGTGTGTGCCTGGACTGTGACCTGAGCATGGCTATGTCTCTTCCTTAGGTCCTGCTGTGCTGGCTCCAGACGATGGGCTGGCCATGTCCCTGCATTTCATGACGTTGGGTGGCAGCTCCCTGTCCCCCACCGAGGGCAAAGGCTCTGGGCTTCAAGGCCACATCATCGAGAACCCACAATACTTCAGTGATGCCTGTGAGGGGCTGTGCGGGGTCAAGGGTGGGGCGAGCCCATGTGTGTGCATGCATGTGTGTGCATGCATGTGTACATGTGTGTGCATGCATGCCTGCATGCGCGTGTGGAGAAGTCCCTGGGCCATAGCCATTGCCCAGCCTGGGCTTGAACAATAACCCTCCTGCCCCACTGCCTTTCCCAGCACGTCCTCCGCAGGCTGAGATCGGCCTGACTTCCGGGCCACAGCTAGCCCATACCACGTCCTCTCTGGGCAGATGCAGCCTCCACCAGGGCACAGAGCTTGGTGAAGGAGTGGAGGCTGAATTTCATCCCCATCCACTTCTTTGGCTAGATGTCAGTATGCAGCGCATGGCCCTTGACCCCACCCCATTTCTCCCAAGACTAAGGCTCCCATCTGACCCTGCAACCCCCCGGCCAGGTGTTCATCACATCAAGCGCCGGGACATCGTGCTCAAGTGGGAGCTGGGCGAGGGTGCCTTTGGGAAGGTCTTCCTTGCTGAGTGCCACAACCTGCTGCCTGAGCAGGACAAGATGCTAGTGGCTGTCAAGGTGAGACCCCGCCACCAGGTACTGCCAGTCTGGGTCCCACCTCCAGGAGAACTGATGTACCAGGACAAGGTGCCTGGCCTAGGGCTGGGATGATGGGGTCTGATGTGGCTGGGGGTTGGGTGGGCCAACCTGGATGTGGGAGGGTGAGGGCTGGCCCCCCGAGTCCTGCCCCCGCCCTGCTGTCCAGGCGCTGAAGGAGGTGTCAGAGAGTGCCAGGCAAGACTTCCAGCGTGAGGCCGAGCTGCTCACCATGCTGCAGCACCCGCACATCGTGCGCTTCTTCGGAGTCTGCACTGAGGGCCGCCCGCTGCTCATGGTCTTTGAATACATGCGGCATGGCGACCTGAACCGCTTCCTCCGGTACGGGCGCCTGGCTCCTACCCTGGTCCCTGGGTCTGAGCCCCATCGTCCCTGCCCCACAAGCACATCCCCATCCTGCTGGTTTTGCCTGGAAACCTCCTGGCCCCTGCTCCGTGCTGGCCTACACACCAAGGGGGAGATTGGGAAGGATCAGGCAGAAACAGTTCCTGTCCCCAAGGAGCTGGGAGGTGGTGGAGGAGAAAATGTGTGCATGTGGGACAGTCAGTGTGAAGGACAGAGTGGCAGTGATCAGAGAAGGTGTACCAGCAGAGACCATGAGCTGAAACTAGCATGGGTGGGCTTTGCAGAGAGTTTGCGTTTATTGGAGTGTGCAACGAGGCAGTCAGGCCTGTAGGAGGTGGCAGTTTGGATGACACAAATGTTCGTCGGGCACTTTCGTGTGAAGTGCTTTACAGCTCATTTTTATTTTGGCTCTATGTGCTTGTATGGAGCCCTGGTGGCGCAGTGGTTAAGAGCTTAGCTAAAAGGTCAGCAGTTCGAATCCACCAGCCGTTCCTTGGAAACCCTATGGGGCAGTTCTGCTCAGTCCTATAGGGTCGCTATGAGTCGGGATCAACTTGACGGCACTGGGTTTGGGGTTTTTTTTTTGGTATGTGCTTGTACATGAATATAAATATATATATATTTACTTTCATAATCTCCAAGCATAATGGCAATTTATACTTAAAGAAAGTTACTAAAAGTGAACTTTTAAATTTCAAGTTAATAATTTGTTTCTCTCGTTTTGGATGGAATAGCTCTGATAGGTTTATTTATGGGTGCTGATAATTTTAATAATTTCAAGAAACGTGGCCATTTCACAGAAGAGGCTTAGAGAGGTTAAGTGACTTGTCCAGTGGCACATGGCTAATAAATGGCCCGGGGGGATGTGACCCCAGGCAGAGCCCCTGCTGTCAGCCCCAACTGTCTATGATGTCACACTTTGCCTTCGGCGAGCGCTTCTCCCCTGAGATGGGCCCCTGTGAGGATGGGGCAGTGTGGGGCCGAGGGAAGGGCCAGGGTCTGGAATCAGGAGGCCTGGCCTCCAGTCCTTGCTCTACAACTTACCAGCTGGGCGTCTTTGCCAAGTAGCTTTCCTCTCTGACCTCAGTGTCCCCATCAGTAAGAGGGGAAAGCAGGGCTTATGGGGCTAGGTAAGAAAGCACTGGGTAGTTGTCCAGTCGATGGTTGTAATTTGGTCCCCAGACACCTGCTGTGGGAGTGAGGGGTCATTCACACAGTCAGGCTGCAGAATTCAGCTGGGGGAGACTCCTGAGTCTTAGCTTATCCTGTGCATTAGGGGGAGCTGATGGAGGGTGTGGAGTAATAGGGAGTGAGGCCAGACCTGGAGCTAAGACTGGAGGCTGAATTGGCACAGAGGAACCCAGTGAAAAGAAGGCCTTAGAGGAGCCCATCCCTTTGGTCACCAGGCCTGGTGCAGGTTCAGTGCTGGGCTGGGGGGATGCAGGCCAGCGGCTCAGGAGGGGAAGAAGTGGCCACCACTGGCAGTCCAGGAGAGCCCACTCTAAATGCTGGAAGGACCACTGAGGGGATCAGAGGAGAGAATCATCAATGTCTCTGGATACAGGGGTCTGGAAGTTTCCCCCAGGAGGGCCATCTGCTCCCTCTCGCCTCTGGGTCTTTGTACTTCAAATTCTGTCTGCCTGGTACATTCCCCCCCCACCTCCCCGCCCGCCCCTGGCCACAACACGTCACCTGCCCCATGCCTGCTCACTTCCAATAGCTTACCCACCTCTTCTCCGGGCTTGAGTCTCAGTTTAGACATCCCTTCCTCCAGGAAGCCTTCCCTGACTTCCTCTATCCTCACCTGAGTGCCCGTTGGTGCCCCTCACACTGCACGCTGTGACCCTTTTGCCTGCGTCCATTGTAGCTCCAAGTGCCCGGTACATTGCTTACCAAGTGTTTCGAATAAATGAAGAAATAAATGGATGAGAAGTTGGCCAGTGGGAAAGGGCATTACTGGTTCAGGCAAAGGTTCAGAAGAAGTACTATTTGGGGAACGAGGCGAACGATTAGGGATTGACCTGGAGTGGTGGCCGTGGGGAGGAGGAGGACATCATGGAAACCTTCAGAAGGAAGGAAGGCCCCACAGGTATGATTGGGTATTGAGGGTAAAGGTGAAGGAGACAGGGGGATCAAGGAGGACTCCTGGGGTTCAGGCTCCGAGCCTGGGTGGACAAGCTCCTCTCACTGAGGCAGGGGCAGGCTTCCAGGGAAGATGCTGAGCTCAGTTTAGGAAGGGCTGCCTCTGAGGTGTCCACTGGCTAGAGATGTAGGGGCCAGTGGGTAGCTGGATGCTGGGGTTGAAGTTCAGGGGACTGCCTGAGAGGAGGACATAGATGTGGCAATCGTGGGCTCTGCTGGAAGCCCTGGGGGTGGGCACACCTGCCCAGGCACCTATTTCAGCCCAACCCAGGCCGCTCCCCCACCTCCCCCAGCTCCACGGGATCCCCATCTTCAGGCTCCTTCTACCTCCCTCCTTTGCAGGTCCCACGGGCCTGATGCCAAGCTGCTGGCTGGCAAGGAGGACCTGGCTCCAGGCCCCCTGGGCCTGGGTCAGCTGTTGGCCGTGGCTAGCCAGGTCGCTGCGGGAATGGTGTACCTGGCGGGCCTGCATTTTGTGCATCGGGACCTGGCCACGCGCAACTGTCTGGTGGGTCAGGGGCTAGTGGTCAAGATCGGCGATTTCGGCATGAGCAGGGATATCTACAGCACCGACTATTACCGCGTAAGGGTCTTTCACCCCCGCGCCTCTCCAGCGTCCTAACTGTAGACCCCCTGGACCCGGAGTCCCCGGCCGAGAGCCGGCCCTTGCCGGGCACGCCCTCCTCTTCCTCGGGCGGTGTGGGGCCTGAGACTCTCCGGCTCTGGTTTTTCACGCCCCCTCCCCCTTCCCCAGTGGCTGAGGGTCTGTCTCCGCTATCCGGGACGGAAACACCACCCTCGGTTTTTCTCTCTTAGCCCTGGCCCCGAAACCCCTAGGCATTTATTTTTAATGACAGGCGGGGGCGGGGTCTGCGCTGGGAGGGGCTGTCTCGGGCGGGCGCCCCCTGAAGGTGACACCGCCCGCCCGCAGGTGGGAGGCCGCACCATGCTGCCCATCCGCTGGATGCCTCCCGAGAGCATCCTCTACCGCAAGTTCACCACCGAAAGCGACGTGTGGAGCTTCGGCGTGGTGCTCTGGGAGATCTTCACCTATGGCAAGCAGCCCTGGTACCAGCTCTCCAACACCGAGGTCAGCCCCGCCCCGTGGGTCCCCGGCCAGCCTCGCCCCCGTCCCTTCTGGTCCTTTTCCCGGAGAGCTCGGATCTTCCTAGAGTCCCTTCCATTCATCTCGCTGCCCCGGGGGCACCCACCCCAGCATCCTGCCCCCGCAAGCCGACGCGGTGCCCCCACCTCCAGCCCGATTTTCCTCGTCCCCTCTCCTATTCTTGCCTCCACTTACGGTCCTAAGCCCGCGCCCCACCAGCTCTTGGGGGCGCCTCAAAGCATGGTATAGGTGGAGCCCAGACCCCACTCCTCAGCTGGTTTTCTAGACGTGATAGGCATTGTCAGGGTGGAAGGGAGAGGCGTGGGAAGGAAGGTGGCGCACAGGAGGGACAGCGCTGCCGCAGAAGGCTGGCGGTTAGACTCTTGGAAGGACGGCCCTGCCCCTCCCGCCGGCCTCCCAGCTGGCCGCAGCCAGAACAGGCCCCAGGTGTTCTGTCTCCCAGAGCAGCTCCCCCCACCCCCTCCTTGGCTCGCAGCTGTCAGTTTCCATTTCTCCTCCTAATGCAGTCTGCTCCCTGGAGGCTGTGGGGTGGGGGAGAGGGTTATAGATTTTAATTTTCTCAAGCACTGAGAGAAGGGATGGAATTAGTGCCGCCCATAACCCAAGTTCTCTAATGGGGGTGGGGTGGGGGAGGAAGAGGTTCTAGGTTCCTTCTCCAGCGAGCTGCCTGTCTTTCCTTCTTTGGATTCCTTAGCTGTTCTGGCAGTCCCTCCCGGAGTCTAACTTCCATCCTTCCTGCTGCAGTTTCTTTTTGGAGGTGCTAGGTCCCCACAGAGTGGTACCCACAGAAGGTAGAAGGACGTGGGGGTTGGCCTCTACCTTAACATGTAAGCCAACTATTTTTCAAGGCCTTCAACTGCCAATTATGCTCTATTTTCTTTTTTCCCTTTGGAGCTGAGAGGCAGAAGACCCTTCCTCTTCTCCATTCAGCCCCCAACACTATGCTGATGTCTTGGCCCTCCCCCTTCTTCAGCCCACTTGGAGAGTCTACTTAGGGTCCGATTCCAGCCCCTCTGGAAGCAATTCTACCCCTAGCCCCACTCCTCAGTGTCTGGCCTTAACCCTTCCCACTGCTCATTGTCAGAGCAGAAAGGGATCTCGGGCTTCACTGTGTCCAGTTAGGTTATTAGCAGCCATGAGGCCCAGAAATGTTTGTGACCTGCTCTGGGAGCTTCGTCTAGGTAGGGGCAGCCCTGGGGCTGGCCTCCCGCTCCCGCTCCCAGCCTAGTGTGCTCTCTTCTCTGTCTGTCTGATGGCTCTTGTCTGCAGGCGATTGAGTGCATCACCCGGGGCCGTGAGCTGGAGCGGCCACGTGCCTGCCCACTCGAGGTCTACACCATTATGCGGGGCTGCTGGCAGTGGGAGCCCCAGCAACGCCACAACATCAAGGATGTGCATGCCCGGCTACAAGCTCTGGCCCAGGCGCCTCCCGTCTACCTGGATGTCCTGGGCTAGGGGCCTGCCCAGGAACTGGGGATGGGGAGCTGGAATGCTGGGGCCTGCCCTCAGTAAGTCCTGTAGCTCCCAGCACCCCCAGGGTGATCACAAAGCATCTAACTCACCCTCAGCATGCGGGAGGGGCCCGGTGGGGGCTGGGAGTGGAGGATATTCCTGCTTCTCTAAGGCAGGGTTCCACATAGTAATTATATTTATTATCCCTTGGCTGTGTCTCTTGCCAGTTTTTGAGGTGACGTCGTTCAAGGAGGGGGGATTGGGATTCAGGTAGGGGGACAATGACTGTCTGGTATCCTTCCTGTCTCTGGTTCCCCTCAGCCACATACCCCAACTCCATGCAGCTGCCACTCTCACTTCCTACACTGTGGCTGCGGTTTGGATCCCAGTCCTGTGGACACCTCGTCCACCTGAAGGAGAAGGGGCGGGGCAACCCCAGGTCAAGCTTCCCAGACCTTCAGACCCTAAGTGCCTCTCTCTGTATGTCATGTTCAGAAAGGCTGGTGCCTCAGGGAGGGATGGCAGTCAGCTGCCCCAGTGGACAGGGTGGAAGCATTGAGGGGCTGAGTCTGACTTGTCTTGGTGTGCCCCTCACAGAGCAAGTGCACAGGAGGACAAGTGTGTGGCAGGGAGAGGAAGGAGCAGGACTGGTGAGGGAGGCGGGACCCTTGTTCCTTCCGCATGGCTCTAGCAAACTGCTTGGAGATCAGCACCTGGAGGCCAGGTGCCAGCAAGGTGGCTGTTTCCTAAGGACGCAGGCATCTCCCCGTCCCATCCTGCCCAAGGGAGGACGTGGGGTGCCCTTGCCCTCTGCCGCTCGGAAGACCACTGGCCTTACTGAGTGGCCGGCAGCTTCAGTGGGCGTCAAGGCTGGGTGAGGTCCCCCCCATCACCACCACATCAGGGGACCTGGGCCCTGCCCCCATCTTCCTCAACCCAAGGGCTGGTGCTCCACCCCGAAACCAGGGAGGCGCGGCTTTCCTCTGTTCCTGCCACCGTTCCCCCTCACCCCCACCCCTCACTTCCCCCACCAGCCCATCACTTCCAATCACCTGCCCAGTTCCTGCAATAACCCATGGCTCCCCAGGGCTAATCTTGTGGCTGGCTCGTGTCCCTGGGTGCCCAGCCTCCCCACCCGGTGATTCAATCTGGGTCTTATCACCCCTAGGCCTAGCCCGGTGGCGTCTGCCTCTTGTCCAGGCTGGTTAGTGCTAATGGAGGTCTGACCCAGGGCTGCAGGCTGACTGATGGTGGGGGGGTCTGGTCCCTGAGGGCCAAGTTCATGGGCCCTCCTCTCCTACCCTGGGGTGGGTGGGGCTGCCCCACCCCTGTAAGGGAGGGCGCTCAGAGACATGGAGTGATGGGGAGGAGAGAGGATGGGAAGTTGGTGAGGGAAGCGGGGGATCAGATCCAACAGGTAAGCCCAGGGACAGATGCTCAGAGAGAGGCAGAGATAGGGACCTGCAGACGCGGAGACATGGGGAGAGACTGCAGAGGGAAGCAGAGACGGAGGAGACACGCCGACAGACAGAAAAAGACATACAGACAGACCTAGATGGACACAGACGGAGAAATGGGGGGCCGATGAGCACCTGAAACAGATATGGGTGGGACAAGCAGTGGGGTCAGAGAATGCCCTGGAGACCAACACGGACTCCTGCGGGGGCTTTCTGTCTCACCCACAGCCGCTCCTCCCCACCCACCTCTGCCTCTGAGCCTCTGTCCAGGGCCTGGGAAGGGTGGGCCACTTCCAGCCTCAGAGGCTCTGGGGGTGGAGGCATAAGGGAGTCAGCTCACCCCACACTGAGCAGGAGTTAGGGTCTTCACTGAAGCCAAAAGGAGCCCTGGTGGCACAGTGGTTAAGTGCTCGGCTGCGGACCAGAAGGTCGGCAGTTTGAACCCACCAGCCATTCTGAGGGAGAAAGATGCGGCAGTCAGCTTGTGTAAAGATTTACAGCCTTGGAAACCCCATGGGGCAGTTCTACTCTGTCCTCCAGGGTTGCTATGAGTCGGAATGGACTGGAGGGCAATGGGTTGGTTTTTGGTACTGCAGCAGAGGGGTGGAGGTCACGTAGAAGACGGACCTGCAGGGCACGGGGAGCATTTCCAGGGTCAAGAACATCAGGGCATCAGCAGCTCTTAAAGCAGTAGCCGGAGGCATTGCTGGAAAAGATAGACAGGTCAGCTCTGGAGGTGAAGGGTTCTGGGAACAAGGTTTGGGCAGGGAAGGGAAACTTCCAGGAGAGTGTGGGAGGGGAACTGGATAGCTTTCATCCATCTGGGAGCAGGAGCTGAAGCCCATCACGCCAGCTCCTTTAGGCAGTCTGGGCCCGGTGCGGTGGACCAGGGATGGGAGGGGGCTCCCACCCACATTGTCAGTTTCATGATCTGAAAGCCCCTCCCACTCCCTCCCTTCCACTGGTGGACCTGCAGATCTGCACATGGACAGGCGCCCTGGCCTACTCCACAGCCCCCCCAATCACTCATAGCTGTTGGACTCCGTTGTGATTAACTGTACCCCCCTCCACCCTGCTGCTACCCCTGCCTCCTCCCTGTTAATTACCTCCTGGCTATGCCAAGTCCATTAGCGACCCCTCCCCATGAGGGGCCTAGCACCAGCTGAGATGGATGCTTGCAGGGAGATCGATGAGATGGGGCCCTGAGGACCCCATGGGGGGATGGGACCAGGACAGTAACCTGAGGCTGTGGGGATGGGACATCTGGGTCCCCCAGATCTGGACGAGACCCCTTCCTCCATCCCTCCCTCTCGGAGAGGGCTGTCTTGGTTAGAAGACAGAGGCCCAGAAAGGGTGATGGGCACCTCAGAGACACACAGCATTGAAGAAATGTTAGAACTCTCCTTTCTCGAAAAGCTTCTGCCAGCTATTCTGTGCCTTCTCTGGGGAGAAGGAATCAGTGGTGCAGAAGTCAGCGGGGCTCCCCATGGGCCCCCAACACTGGGATGGGTTCTGCAAAGAGCCCAGGGATCCAAGCCACTCCCGACCTCCTCAGACTTCCTAACCAGTTTCTGCCTCCTTCCCACCCTGCTCCCTCAGGGGCTGGATTCCCGACAGGAGAGCAGAGCATCTGTTCGGGTTTCCAGGAATGAGGCGGGCAGAGCGCTGGAGCTGCAGGGGTGAGGGATGTCCTGTCCTGTGCCCCCTTGATCCCCCTGGCTGAAGACAGACCCTAGCGAGCATTCCAGACACAACAGGCCCTGAGCTTTCTAAGCACCAGCTGGAGAGAACCTGTCTTGCCAGATTCCTGAAGTGGCCTTGAACAGGCTGCCCAGTGGTGGTGAGGGGGACAGTCCCCGGAGGAGCCGGGATCCGGGAATCCAAACTTGCAGCCCACTGCCAGGCTGTTAGGCAGTCCATGTCCCCTCAGGGGGGAGGGAGGTGACTCCACTGCTCCAAACATCAGTCCTCTTCCAGACTGTCTCTCTGTCCCCCCACCCTCACGCCGGCTCTGACGGTCTCCTGTGATAAGGTGGACACTCTGAGGAGCTTTGGCTGTGGGGTGGTGGGGAGGAGAGAAATCTGGAGCCAAGACAGACAACCAGACAATGCCATAGGGCTGGAGCTGCAGGAGGAGCCATATGGAGTGCGGAGGGACATGGAGACAGAGAGGGGCAGCCCACAGCAGTGCAGGGCACAGACAACAAGGCAGAGACTCCGAGACGCAGGACAGATTCCCAGGGGCCCATGTGTCTTCCACTGAGCCCTGCCCCTAATCCAGCCCTTGGAACCAGAGTCTCTTCAGCCCACCCTCCCACTAAGCTGGCCCCCCCCTTACTCTTCTCCCAGGGCTGTGTCACCTAGACCCTGGAGCCAGTTGGCCTGGTTCTGCTACTTAGCAGCTGTGTGACCTTGGACAAGTTACTCAAGCTCTCTGCGCCTTAGTATCCTTCTCTGAAAAATAGGGATAATAATAGCACCGACCTGTAGGGTTGGTAAGAGGTTGAAACAAGTCCCACGTGTAGGGCTTTTCCAAGAGCGCCTGGCCTGTTGCTGGTGCTATGTAAGTGTTTGCTGTTTTCATCTCTCTTTCCCACCCCTCCTCCTCCTCTCTATCCTGTCACAAGGCCTTGGGTATTCCCAGCCTGGGCCTTGGCCCTGGAGTTTGGGGGTGGGGCAGGACAGGCTGGCAAGTTGTGTTTTGGGGAGATGGGCTCACAGAAGAGGTGCTCTGTCCCCTGACCCCAAGCACCCCTCCAGCTGCAGCAGCTTGGGACAGAGGGGACTTGCCTAGCTGTGGAGGGGTGAGGGGGGAGACTCCTCCTCTCTCTGAAACCCTGGGAGCCTCAGGTCTCTGAGCTGCACCAGCAGGCCCTAATGGAGGAAGAGACTCCAGGGCTGGCAGGGAGAGCAGGGCCCGGTCTCCCTGGTTTTCCCTAGTGGGAACTCCCCTCTCAGTTTCCTTTGGGAAGCCCCCAGGGATTAAGCAGGGACCTTGGCGCTCCTGTAGAGTGCTTCTGAGATCACAAATCCTCACAAAAATCAAGTTTCCAAGGAGGTCTATCCAGGAGTGAAATAGACCTGCCTAGACCTTCTATCCCTTAGTCCCTTGGCCTCCCATTCTTGAGAGCCAGGAAGTCCTTCCTGCAGTCTACCCTCATGCTTGCCACCTGGATCTGAAGGGGTTACTCAGCTCCAGGCCTGCCCACTGAGGTCCCAGCTGCCTGGGGCCTGTGGTCAGAGCTAATGTAGGCGAGAGTTGGAGGACAAGAGGGGATAAAGTTATTAGCGTCTTCGTCTTTGAGGGATATCGATTGTCAAGTCTCCAGACTCACTTGGTCTTATAACGGGGCTCACGGGGGTGTTGGGAGGGGCTCAGGAAAAGCTCACAGAGCCCCCCACCCATATCTTTTAGTGGGAGCTGGGCTGCCTGGGATTTCTCAAAGGAGGGGACTTATAGGGACACAATTTGGGAGGCAAGGGCTCTGGGGAGGCAGGGGGGAGGTCGAATGGGCTGAGAGTTAGGCCTTGGGGTCCTGGGCAAGGAGCAGACTGTCGGGTGGGCCAAACAGTTATTTAGACCTCAAAACTTGGGGTGGACGTGGGCTTGGTTTCAGTTCATGACTCTTTTTTTTGGTGTGTGTGTGTATTTTTGTGTGTGTGTGAGACAGAACAAGCAGTGGAGCTAGACAGATTCAAGATGGCGGCCCAGGGGGAGAAGGCAGGGGATCCCTCCTCCTGAGACTCATGTAC